ACCACACCAGGAAAATGAGAGGGATTTGGCAAAGGTCAAATTGCAGCTAGACAATGTAGAGCCAACACCAGAACCCAGCACTTGCCTCTTGGGCGGGGGCTGAATTTGTAATATTATGTGCTTACGTATCTAGGTCTAAACTAATGGTTGTACCTGAACTGTAACCAAAGTCCCTTCTGGTCATGATCACCAGTGGAGATGAGGCCAGTCGAAGGTTGGAGAGTGGCTGAAGTGGTAGTACACCTGCTTAACAAGTGTGAGGTCTGAGTTCAAATCCCGTACCCCAAAAGAGAAAAAGAAAGAAGCAGACTCTAAAGGTTTGATTCTGAATGAAGTGGCCCATAGGTTTCAAGGAGAAGACAATGACAAGGAAAAAGCTAGGGGCTGTGTCAATCCTAACAACCTAGGAGTCCCTAATCGTCCCCAGGCTGAGAATGCCTCTGGAAGGGCTCTTCTGGGAATTAGTTCATTTAGTAAGATAAGTAACCCAGAAAGTTTTCTGGGTTTGTGTCTGGGAGGGAAGCTAAAGGGAATATCAGGAGGTGGTAATGATACTAATGATGAAGAGTATCTTACTGGTCCCTTGGGATCCTCACAGACCTTTACAAAGCACTTTCACGTGTATTTTCTCACCGGGTCCTCCCAGCACTCGTGAGAGGGAGGCCTTATGGTCCCGTTTCATAGACGGTGATCATGGTCTGATGATGACGGTGGCAATAATGATGACAGATACTGAGCATCTATCGTGAGCCAAACCTGAGGAAGTCACTCACACTGTTGTTGGTCACTGAGCTACTTTGAGTCAGAAAAGGCTTTCAATATATCCATATCCCTACTCTTTTACAGCCATGCGAATTAAAACCCCCAAAAGAAAAGTGACTCTGAACCAGGGTTAGTGTAGCAGACTAGAATCTCAATGTCTTGCCTCCCAGCTATGAGCCCTTTCTGTTGCCCCACCCCCAGGTTATCTCATCTGCCTTCCTCTCTGGGAAACTGAAGAAAGAGCTGTCCATCTGCCCAGCAATAATTATTTAATCACAGGGATCTGATCCTGTATATCCTCTACATGTTGAGTCCTGGTGTTTGTATTTCCCCAGGCAATTCTGTGTGAGTCAACAGAAGGACACACAGATCCGACAAACTAATAGAATAAAAATAACAGCAAAATGACGGTGATGATGAAAATAATAGCAAAATCTTATAGGGTGTTTCTTACGGGGTACCTGGTATTCTTCTAAGTGTTTACTTGTAATAACTCATTTAATATTCAAAACATTTCTGTGAGACCTCGTATTATTGTCATCACTTTCAGGTGAGGAAAGAGTTACAGAGAATTAGTAATGGCAGTCTGAGATTTAACAGGTGGTAAATGGTTAACAACCAGCCACCCAGAAAGAAAGAAGACAAAAAAGAATAAAACCAAGCCTGCTTTTTAAGTCTGGTAAGTCAGAGTCCATGTTGCTGAGCCCAAGTGTAACCTCCATCCCTGACATCTTGGCCAGTTTGTTCATGAATCCATTGGGCAGTAACAGGAATGGCCAGAGAAAGAGGCTGACTGGCCATTCACAAAGGTCATTGTATCCACTTGGTTGTTAAAAGCCCTCTTTCGTGAGGGCATCCTTTAGTGAGCATTTGCATGGGACACAGACATATTCACAACATTTTCCAGTTCAAAGAGTGCTGTCTCTCCCACACTCATTCTCACCAATTTTCCAATCACGTTCCGTCCAGCTCCCTGACCATCTAGCCAACCCATTGGCCACAGTGCATTGAACAGTACAGACTCTCACCTCTAACTCATTTTCCTGTCCATACTAAAGGAACCACCAAGTGCCCTGCTTGGTGTTCTTCCCCTGGAAAGATTTCTCTTCCACATAGTCTTCAGGGGTATCCCAGACAGGGGCCATAATGCTGCAGATGTCCACTTTCAGGTGCCTGCACAATATGCAGAATCATTTGAAAACCAGGCATGAGTTTTCCCTTCTTCATGCATCAATCATAGGACTCCACAGGAGGCAGCAGGTTCAGGCTATGGAGGGCAAGGTAGCAGGAGTAGGCTGCTTGGGCCACTTACGCCTTCAGGGCCTGCTAAAGCCCAACTTTTTGTGCACTATCATTTGATTCTGTGGAGCTACTGTGCATACCCCAGTACCTTGTAAGTCAAATATCACCTACTTCATGAGGGGAGTTCCGGTCACATGGCAATTTGGTGGTTCATGGTTCATACGTCAGAAGATTTTAAATGGTTAAGACGTCTGTATACCCTAAACTGATCAACAGATTCAATACATCACTATCATAATTCTGTCATTTTCAGAAAATGACAGACTCACCCGAAAATTCATAAGAAAGTTCAAGGAACCCATTATAGGTAAAACATTCTTAAAGAAGAAAGTTGGAAGACTAATGCCTCCAGTGTCAAAACCTACTACAAAGCTATAGTACCTAAAACAGTATAGTGCTGGCATAAAGACCGACATGCAATTTAATGTACTAGAATTGACAGTTCAGACATACACCCTAAAATTAATTGTCAAGTGATACTGACAAGGACACAAAGACTATTCAATGGAGGAAAAGATAGTCTCTTTAAAAAAAGATGCTGAGACAAATATTCACATGAAAAAGAATGAAATTAGACTCCTACCATATATCATATACAAAATTACTCCAAAATGGACCAAAGACCTAAATAAAACCTAAGGGTAAAACGTCATGACCTTAGATCAGGCAATGGTTTCTTAGATCTACTCCAAAAGCTACAAGGAAAAAAAACAGATAAATTAGATTTTATCAAAATAAATACTTCTGTGTGTGCTATAAAGGAAACCATCAAGAAACCCTACAGGAGAAGATACTTACAAATCATATATCTGATAAAGTACTTGTATCTACAGTATATAAAGAACAACCCAATAATTAAGATAGAGATAACCCATTTAAAAACTAGGGAAGGATTTGAACAGACATTTCTCCAAAGAAGACATATGGCCAAGAAGAACATGAAGATATCCAACATCAATAGCGCTCAGGGAAATAGAAATCAAAGCCATGGCAAGATACCATTTCACACCCACAAGGAGGAATGTAATCAAAAACACAGATAATGAAAACTGTTGGTGAAGATGAAGAGAAATTGGAGCTCTCACCCATTGTTAGTGGGGAGTAAAATGGTGCAGCCACTTTAAAAACCTGTCTACCAGTTCCTTAAAATGTTAAATGTAGATATACAACTCAGCAATTCTATTCCTAAGTATAATTCCAAGAGAAAGGAAAGACTATGTCCACACAAAATCATGTATGGACAAGAATCTAAACATTCAAAGTATTGAATTCAAAGTATTGAATGATTAGAGCGGCATCATTCATAAAAGCCAGAAAGTGGAAAAAAGACAAATAGCCATCAACTAATCAGTGGATCCATAAAATGTGGCATATTCACAAACAGAATACTGTTTAGCCATGAAAAGGAGTGAATACCAGTACATACTGCAACATAGATGAAGCTTGAAGACGTTACCTGAAAGAAGTGAGCCACAGAGACCATGTATTTATTCTTCTAGCCATATGAAATTTCCAGGATAAGCATCTCCAGAATCAGAAAGCAGATTATTGGTGGCTTAGAGCTGGGGATGGGGAGAGTGGGAAGTGGTGGCTTGAAAAATACCATATTTCATCACTTTTAGGAGTGATGAAAATGTTCTAAAATTGATTGTGGTGATGTTTTCACAACTCTGAATACACTTTAAACAAGTGAATTATGTCTCAATAGAGCTATTACAAAAAATAAAGGAAATGGAAAAAAGAGAGGGAGAGAAAAAGAGAGAGCCTGACCTATGTCCAAAGCCCTGCAGTTCATACAGTAAGTCTCCACTTGCACTGGTTCCTCCCAGAAGCCCTGTGGTAGAAGAATTAATGCCATTTCAAAGGTATTACAGTTTTTGCCGTCTGGTCTCAGTCCAAATCCTAGCTCCAACAGGAAAAAAGAAAACCAACTTAGGTAACTACCAAGTGCAAGGTGCTATGCCAGACTCTTCATTCAAAAAATCTCAGTTCACCCTTAAAACATCCTAGGAAGATGAGTGTGGTGGTTCACTTCTATAATCCCAGCATTTGGGAGGCTGAAGCAAGAGGATCATGAGTTCAAGACTAGCCACCCTTGGTGCCAGGATCAGAGACCTGGGCCCTGGCTACACAGTGCCCCTAACTGTGCCCCTCCTGCCCCCTCCCTAGCTCCATAGTTCTGATTGGTGGTGCACCCTTTCTGCCCACTTCTCTTGTTAGCCAGCCTGTCTCCCTCCTCCTGCCCTCCCCTCCAACCCCCATCCCCCGCAGTGCACAGAGGAAAAACTGGCCTTGGCACTTCAGCTAGCTGGCCTCATTCACAGGGGAAGGAGCTCCAGTGCCAAAGAGCCCCACTGTGCCTAAGGAAACCCTGGAGGGCCCAGAGGAAGGGGCAAAAGATACTCTCCTCTGCAAATAGGTCAGGCCAGAGAACTCTGTCTGACTGCCAGATGCCCCTAAGAGGGGCAAGAGGGCATGGCCTTTCCACTGGAGCGCCTGGCAGATCCCCTCCATAGACTCACAGCAGAGCAGAAGAGCCCATACGTGGAACACCAGTGGGAGCGGGACTTTGTCTGTTGGGAGCAGTCAGGAAATTTGGTCTGTAATGGGAGCCCAGACACTTGAGTGTCTAGCCAGCCCTCACCTCTTGGTGGGAGGTGATCATAGCAGGTCTGGGATGGCCCTCCTGCTCCTACATCCCCTCTCCCAATTGGCACCCAAAGCTAGGATCTGGGCTGAGAAGGGGCTTTTCCTAGGAGGGAAGATGAACTGAGGGTGGAGTTAGTCACCATGGTCATCTCACCTGACAGACCAAGCCTTGAGGGCAGGGCTGTCCTGCTTGACCCAGCCAATGGGCAGGCTGCCGGGACAAGAGCCAATTACTGGTAAAGTGAGCTAGCTCCTCATAAAGAGAGGGGAACTGCCTAGGGCCCAGCATGAGCTTCAGGGCCATGGCCAAGATGAATGGTAAGTGGAGTCCCTCCTCTAGGTCTGAGAAGGAAGAGCCTGAGATGGAGGTATTGGACACTGAAACTGAGAGAGGAACTGTACCAGGAGGAGGGATATACGTCAAAGGATTTGACATGGGTCTGAGGACAAGTCTGAGTTTAGGAGTGTGCACGGGGAAGGAAGATGGGGAAGGAATAGAAGCTCATCCAGGGGCTGAGGATGGGTAGAGGTGTTGAAAGCAGGCCAATAGAATGGAGATGGGTCTGGAGAACAAGTCTTGAGGTTGCGTCCACTCAAGTGGGAGGACACGGGGTTGAGACAGAAATGGCAATAGTTCAGGGAGATAGAGAAATTTGCCAGGAGAGAAAAATGGACTAGGGAGATTGAGGTAGATCTGGTGTGGAAAGAGGAGATGAGGCTTGGGGATTCTTTCCCTTGGGCTTGGTGACCCCTTTCCTCTTTCCTGAAGGGTTGGCCCAGTGGAAGGCTCTCCTGATATTGGGAAAGGTATGCACTGTGAGCTGTCTGGGTCTCCTGCTTCATCCTCAGCAGGTACTCCCTGAAATTCCCTTTCCTTCTGGAAGCTTCAGTTATGCCACCAGTACAAAGACTGAACTGAAAGGTTCTCACCTGCCAAAGATCTAGAGCTAGTAGGAGTGCAATGTACATAGTTCCTGCCTGTTCCACTTGGGAGCAGTTGACAGACACTGAGGAGACCACAGTGTTAGGCTCCCAAATGTGTTTCTCTAGGAAGAAAATCAAATCACTCAGGACTTTTTGCATGGTGGTCATCAACTCCCTGAGCAATGGTTTCTAATCTTAGTGTTACATTCAATACCTAAAAAAGCTTTGGGGAAAATATTGTAAGGCTGGAGAATAGTAAGACTGCCAGTTTTCTACAGGTCACTCCTCACTCCCTACCTCCTAAGAGAACTATGCCTGCACACACCCTTTCTTTTGCACACAGGTACACACACTCACAAATACATACATTCCCGAATACAGATATCCTCACTCTCAAAATGCATGCACAGAATGCACACCAGCACCCATATTCGCATTCAGGCTCGTTACCCTCACTCTTTCAAATCCAGGTCCACACACTCCAGTTCTCAGTCCGTCTTGCCTTCCCATACAGGTTCATATGCCCACAGCATTCCACAAACATGCTCCTCACATACAATCATGAACAATACACAGCTGTACAGAGCAGTAACATAAACGTGCTCACAAACTGACTTGTGTACAGAATCAGTCCTTTACACACTCACAGACAAACCCACATATTCACTCACCAACAGAAGCAGGCACAATCAAATATCAACCTGTCATACCCATGAATTTCCAATCACATGCACACACATAAACTTGCAAGCCACATTCACAATCACACACTAATCACAAACTAACACCACTACAGTTCACACATGCATCTATACCCCACACAACACAATCACTCCTACATAGACACAGTCACAAATACACCCATCTACAACCACATACTCACCAGACACTGTCCTGATCTGGTTTTCCTATACCTGTTCACACAGTCAAGCTCATCCTGGGCAGGGCGGGTAGAGTCCAGAGCTTGGGCCCCAGAAAGGCCACATCTATTGCTTTTTCTGCCCACAGGAATTCTGATCTTGGGACTTCTGTTGGCTGCCTCCAACTGCCTTTCCTACTATGAGGACCTGGCCAAGTGCTTCCAGGACCCAGATTATGAGTCCTTCCTCATCACAGCCCAGGATGGACTCCACACCTCCCCACTGTCCAAGCGTGTGGTTATAGTGGGAGCTGGCATGGCAGGCCTGACAGCAGCTAAGACTCTTCAGGACGCTGGTCACCAGGTGAGGAGTCCTTGGAGGGATCTCAATCATTTGCCTCCAATTTGCCTCCTTGGGTGGGGAAAAAAAAAGGATGGAATTACAGCCAACTCTCTGCACATAACCCACTGGGTCTCTGAAACTCTTCACCCTTAAATCATTGCTAAGGGCCATTTGTGTTCTCATGGAAACAAAAGCAAAGAGCTGTGCTACTAGATAGGGCATCTCTTGTCCCTATCTAGTATGTCTAGTATGTTTCTTATATGTCAATTATATCACATATCTTGGCCTAGATAGGGCCAAGAGATGCCTATCCCTGGCCAACAGGGTCTCTTCAGATTCATTTACATTACTCAGGACTCCTCTGGAGGAACCAGACCCGGTAAAGCTGTCCTGCCCGTGTGGGGCCTGATGCTGAGGATTCTAGGCCACAGCACATGGCCATGTGGAGGTGGAAGCAGAGGGAGGGGAGAAGGGACAGATCATCTCTAGAAATGACAGCAGCCTCTCTGGACTCTAGGTAACCATCTTGGAAGCCAGTGACCATGTTGGAGGTCGAGTGGTCACATTCAGGAACAAGGAGGAAGGCTGGTACTATGAACTCGGGCCCATGAGAATCCCCAAATCCCACAGGTGAGTCGAGGGAGAGAGAGGGAGCAAAGGGCAGGTAGGAGGGATAAGGAAGAGCTGGGAGGGACCCTGCCACCATCATGTCAAAGCCCTTTCAGGTTCACTGCATCAGGCGATTCAACTCAGTAAGTCAAGACTAATGCTTTTCTTCCATTTAACAGAGGAGATTAGGGCTCAAAGCTGAGAGTCACATGGGAAATGACAGATCCCAAACAAATTATAACCGTTGCCATTAACTCATCAAATTGTACAGCTTAAATATAGGCAGTTTCTTATATGTCAATTATATCACATTAGGCTGTGAAATTACAATAATAGTTACTATTAATAGCTACCAAGTGTTGAGCACTAGCTGTGCCAGGCCCTGTGCTAAGCATTATATTTATATTAATTGGTATTTTATATTAATTATGGAGTTGTTGATCCTCACCACCCTGTATTTTGACACTCTTATTCTCATTTACAAATCAAGAAATGGGCTCAGGGATGTTAAGTGACTCACTCTAGTTTCTCCTAAGAGAAAGTGATGGAGCTCCTCAAAATCAAATCATATGCCTGACTCCTAAACCATATTTGACTCCAGAAGAGAACAAAGCCCCGGATTCTGAGGCTTCCAAAACAAAACAAAGATCTCCAACCTGGCATCCCACATACCTCCACAAATATGACTTCTGGTTTTTTTTATTTTTTGCCTTTTATGTAAATTGAACCCAAAGTTTCCCTCCAAACCACAAAAAGCAAAAAACAACTCAACCAGCCCAAACTGTGAGTCATTAGATACAGCCTCAAGCTTACTTAGAAATGGAAAATGGAATTTCAAAAATTGTCCAAACTAAAAGGCCTCTAGCTCTACTTTTGAGTCCTATTATCTAGGATTTCCTAAAGGGTCTTAATTGAGTGATGGGTGAATTTCCCACCCCCTATATCCCCAGGGCAAACCAGAAGGGGGAAAAAAACAATGCCTATAGCAAGAGGAAAATGAGATTAGAATTGAGCAAGCAGTTAGGCTGAGCTCCCTGGGCACAAGAAGAAATGGATTTTCCTGGAAGCAGTTTCTACTATGGGACCAACAGGAACAAGGATAGTGACCACATTATGTCTGTCTCTGCTCTAGGCTGGTTCACAGCTATATCAAGAAGCTTGGCCTGAAGCTGAACAAGTTCATCCAATATGATAAAAACACCTGGTACCTTATCAACCAACGACACTATCGTGCCTGGGAGATCAAGGAAAACCCAGAGCTCTTGGGCTATTCCATGAACCCCAAAGAGAGGGGCAAGAGTGCTATGAATCTCTTGCACCAGTCCATCACCCAGGTGCCTACTACATTATCCCAGCTAGGGTCTGGAAGGAAAAGGGTCTGGCCTAATGTAGCCCAACAAGTTAGTGGATGGACTCAGGTCCTCTGACTTTTACCTGGTGCTTCTGTGATTGGTCCACTTTCCTCCTATAAGACTGTCCTACCCTCAACCCCACATCTAGCTCCCTCTCTTTTCCTGTCCCTGGGTGGTCCAATGGCCCATTACTTAGACAGCAACAGTGGGAGGAAAGAGACTACTAGATTGGGATCAGCCAATTCTTGGTGGTGATCAATTCTCCTGAGTCATAGTGAAGATCTTTGTCCTAAACTTTAGTCTCAAAAAGGTCTTTAAACAAAGAGGAGAAACTTAGGGGAAGAAAAGCATGTAGGAGCTCCTAGAAGAACCCTTCCCCTGGTCCTTTCATCACCCCTCTTCCTTGTCCTTACCTCTTCCAGGGACACCTAGAGAACTCATCTAAAGGCATGCATAGGTGCCCGTTGCCCAATCCCCATAGCTCCTTGTCCACAGCAGCTTGAATGCTCCTGGTGACTAGGAGGCCCACCTTGATGGTGGTGTCTTTCCTCCCCTTCTGCAGCTCAAACAAAGTCTGAAGACATTCAACTGTAGCCACCTGATGTCTTTTTATGATTCCTACTCCACCAAGGTGAGTGAGATAAAAAGCCCCAGGATGGAGGTGGGGTGATGGGCTCTGTGCTTGGCCTATTCTCCTCTACATACCAGGATGCTCTCTTCTCACTGACAAAGCCTTTGCCTTCCTGGAGTCCAGTCCCACCCTTGCAGGCCCCTTCCTTTACACTGGGCCCTCTATACTACACTTCCTTCTATGGTGTGCCCCCCCAACCCCCTACCAACAGGCTTTCCTGCTAAAAGAAGGGATGCTGAGCAGAGGAGCAGTGCAGATGATTGGGGATGTGATGAACGAGAATGCTGGATACCAAAAGTCCCTCCTGGAGTCCCTGAGGATTGCCAGCATCTTCTCCAAGAGTGACGAGTAAGGCTCATCTGGGGCCCAAATGGGACTCCACTCCCATTGGGTATATGCCAGGTGCTGTGCAGAGCACTTTCCAGGCATTGTCACATTTAATGCTAAGGATACCCTGAAAGGTAGATACTATTATTCCAAGCTAATTCATAGGTGATGATGCTAAGTTATTATAAAATTTACCCAAGTTCACACAACTTGGGCTAGGGCTGAAGCCAGACTCCAAACCCAGATCTGTAGGACTGCTCAGAAGGAGAATTACAAGGCAGCTGAATTCATGGGCTCCAGCATTAGACTGCGTATGTGATCTTGGGAAAATCTCTTCTCTCTGGGTCAGTTATCCAAACTATCAAATTAAGCAGCAATCCCTTCCTGACACAGCACTCTGTATTAATTATGATTATGGTATATGAAGTGTCCTGCACAAGGTGTAGGGAGCTGGTTCCCTCCCTTTTTAGACCAGGAACACGTCTGGCAATGGGTCACACAAGCCTGGTAGTGTCTCCCACTTTCACCTCTCTTCACCCCTGCAGATTTTCTGAGATCACTGGTGGCTTTGACCAGCTCCCCAGTGCCCTCTGCTCCAGCCTGAAGCCTGGTACCATCCATTTGGGGTCCAAGGTGGAGATGGTAGTGAGGGATGGGCCTGAAGTTCAAGTTTTGTACCGCACAGGCGGGCCCACTTCATTGCTGCACAATCTCACCGCTGACTATGTCATCATCTCTGCCTCAGCCAAGGCTACTCGCCTCATCACCTTCCAGCCACCTCTGTCCCCTGACAAGAGAGATGCCCTGCGCTCAGTGCACTACACCAGTGCTACCAAAGTAGTTTTGATCTGTGATGAGCGCTTCTGGGAACGGGATGGCATTCAGGGAGGAGTCTCCATCACTGACCGGCCCTCCCGCTACATCCACTACCCCAGCCACAGCTTCCCAGGTGGCAAGGGCATTCTGCTGGCCTCCTACACAGTGGATGATGATTCACTCTTCTTCACTGCCATGAAGCAGGAGCAGGTGGTGGATATTGTCCTGGATGACCTGGCAGCAGTGCACCAGATACCCAAGGAGTTGCTGCAGCGCATGTGCCCCTCCTCAGTGGTCAAACACTGGTCATTGGACCCTCTCACCATTGGTGCCTTTGCTGAGTTCACACCCTACCAATTTGTGGACTATTCAAAGCAGCTTTTCCAGCCAGAGGGCCAAATCTACTTTGCTGGTGAGCATACTTGCCTGCCCCATGCCTGGATCGACACTGCCATTAAGTCCGGCATCCGGGCTGCCAGGGACATCCAGGCTGCTGTGGACAAGGAGGCCACAGGAGGACAGATGCCTCAGCAGAAGCCTTTCACCAACATCCAAGACAGTTTCTTTCCTAAGAGCAATCCCTGAGGGAGTCTGGCAGGAGCAGGCTGGGAGATGGGAGGGATAGGCAGCAATCCAGGAGAGAGGTCACCTTTGGTCTCTCTCGCCCACAAGCAGGAACCCAAAAATGCCAGACATAGAACCCAGCTGGAAAATTGGCAAGAAACATCATCCCCTTACCTATTTCCCTCCCCTGCCAGCCCCCGCAGAAAGGAAGCAGTAAAGTTAGAGTATACGGGAGGATAAGGGTAGAGAATGCTAGAATCAGCCCTGAGCTTGGAGGAACTTGTCTCCTGCTGCAAACTAATAACAAGCAAAAAGGAAAAGGTTCAACAATGCCTAATTTCTGTCACATACAGCTAGAAGTCCTTAAAGAAACAGACAAAACTCAAACCACAGCAACATTAAACCGCAGGTTGACAACCTGAGCACAACCCACAACACACACAAAACCCCATTATAGGACCTCACATCTTGTCCAATGTGAAGTCTAGATGACTGGGAGAGGAAATGATTCTATTCTGCTCTTCTTTAGGGTTACTGAGTGGGATCTTGGCTTCCCAGAGCCTGAGGGTCCAAAGGCTTTTCCTCTTCACCCTCACTTCCCCATCACCAACCAGAACCCCACCACCTCCACCTACCCGGTCTACACATCATCCTGGAAGGATGCCAAGCTCTTTCTATATGTTCTTCTCTACTCTTCTCCTTTCTAAAAGCTACTCTGTCTTTCTAGACCCAATTTAAGTTATTCCCCCTCCCCAAGTCCTTGCCTGATGGCTCCCCAATATTCAGTGACCTCTCTCCTTTGATCCACAGCTCTTTCCTTCCAGAGTCCCAAACATTTAGGCTGCAACTCTTATTATGCTATTATATAAGTACTTCATAGGTGTGTATTATCTCTCCAAATATACTGAGGGCTCCCAAGGGCTGCGATCATATCTTTCATGAGTTTGTTCACATTTTCCTTTATAACCATCAAATACATGCTATTTCCTTCAGCCTGTCAGTAGTTATTAAACTTCTACTGCATGTCTGGCATTGTGTTGGGCACCAGAAATGCCAAGAAGGAGTAGCATTATGAATCAGCCCTCTACTCTCTCTTATGTCCCAAATATTTCCCTGCATCGGCTTGCAAATCCAGCTCAAGTTTTGTCCTCAATTCTTGGAGACCAAGGGATATTCCTGGATATTTGAGTCCAATTAGGCAAAAGAAAAAGTAAGTCAAGTCATAAGCTCTCTCCCTGGAAAACAGTCCCACCAGAGAGACCCTGGAAGGCACTAGAGACAAGCACAGTAAAGTATTGGTAGGGAGTTCAATGTTAAGACTGGCAGATGGTACAGGAAGGAGGAAAAGAAAAAAATCACATTTTCTTACTAAAATTTAGTCAATTGTTAAGACCCTGTGCTGCTTTTTTCTGGGTTTCTATTCACCACTACATTAGTTGGGATGTTTTTACTTTCAAGTGTCAGAAATCAAATTCAAACTAGCTTAAGGAAAAAGGAGATAATGTTTTGGCTCTCATATCTAGGACATTCAGGATGAAGCTGGCTTTACCTAGAAAGACTGGGCTCAGAACAGAAAAGCTGTCATCAGAGTTCTCTGTCTTCCCATCTCCTGGCTGCTTTTCTAATGTAGCCTCTGTATTGGGTTGAATAGCATACTTCAAATTCATTAGAATAAATGCATATAATCTTACTTAGAAATATGATCTAGGTAAATGTGATCGAGGTCAAATGATAAGAAGAAGGAAATTTGAACCCAGATATACACAGAGAGAAGACAGTCATTTGAATAGAGGCAGATACATGCATCTACAAAGCAAGGAATGCCAAAGATTTCCAGAAAACACCAAAATGTAGGGGAGATAGAACAGAGTTTCCCTCAAAGCCCCAGTAGGAGTCAAGCCTGCTGACACATTAATTTTAAACTTCTAGCCTCTAGAACTATAAGAAAATAAATTTCTCTTGTTTATGCTATCCAATTTTGTGATGTTTATTACAGCATCCCTAGAAAACCAATACAGCTTCCTTCTGCTTTTCTTTTCTTTTTTTAATTTGATACATATTTTTGAAAGACTTTCTCAAGATTTTTTTTGTTTTTGTTTTTGTGGTGGTATTGGGGTTTGAACTGTAGTGCTTGAGCCACATCTCCAACCCCTTCTTCTGCTTTTCTTCTGGAAAAGAACCCAGTCAGAAGCAATTCCAAGATCATGTTTTTTATATGTTGTCATACAAGAGAAAAGAAAGAGTTCCTCTCTCCCCAAGTCTTCATATATATTTCTATTCTGCCCATCCTCCTTCTTGATCAAGGAGCCACCCCTTAGCTTAGAAGTGTGTCTTTTGACTGGCAATTCCAGTGGCCACCAGAAATGGAAAGAGGGACAAGTCCTTAAAAACAATATTCTGGGCAGATTAAAATAATAGATGAACTCACAAATTGCAACTCCTCTTGATGCCATATTTGGGCTAAGGAATACAGCCAAACTACTCCAGAGCTTGGATAAGCCAACTCGCTCAGTCCTCCAACACTACATGACTCACCATCAACAGAGTCACAATACACATGGAGAACCAGAGGCCAAGTAAACTGCACTCTAGAACCTGGCCCCATCAAGGGAGGAGTCTGTTTCAAAACTGTCTCCTGTTTAGATTTGATACTTTCCCCTTAAGATTTTCACAAAAGTCTTAAGATTCTCAGAGCCAGTCTGAGAGGAGTCTTGATCCAGTGAAGACCAGCCAGAGAAAGAAGCAGAAGGCATGACCATTGGATAGGAAGGGCTCTGAGGAAGAGCTCAACACAAGACACCATGAATTCCTAAGAATTCACAGGTTCTTAAAGAAACAAGTCAGAGAAGAGAACAGGGCAATGAACTGGACAGTGAGTTTACCAGAAACAACAATTCCTTGCTGGTCTCTGTCCACTGGCTATAAAAATGATGAACCCCCAAAAGGCACAGAGTAAGCTGTGCAGAGAGGAGGGAGCAGGATGAGGGAAGAATGGATAGTGAAAGACTGATGAATCTGTGGCTCAGAGGTAAATGACTCCTAGCATTTGGATGGAAGTATTAAGCAGAAGACAAAAAAATCTCAGAGATAGCAAGGGATTCTCACTAGGATACAGAGCTACCACATGGGATTCTGGACTATAAATAACAGAAACCAAATCTGAACCACTCAAGTTTGGAGAGGAAATTGCAGAAGAATATAAAGAGGCTCACAGAATTGATGGGAAGGCTAAAAAACAGTCTTGCAAAGTAGACCACATGGCCTGAGCCACAGCCAAAGTCAAATTGTAGGAGAAGCCTGATAGATGGCACTGTGGCCACTGAGCACTGACTGCAACCACTGTGACCACTACCATGGGCCACAAGATGCTACCATTGCTACCACAGCAAATTGCCAATTGTCCACTGCTTCTTTATGTCTCTCCTCCCAGATTCAAAGTCCCAGATGGAAGTTTAAAATTGACTAAGTCTAGGTCAGTGCCCAGTCCCTGGCTCCTGAGAGTCAGAGAGATCAGGGAACCAACCAACAACATTCTTTCATTTGAGAGTTGGGAGGTGTGTTAGTCAGTTTTCCATCACTGTGACAAAAAATACCTGAGTAAATCAACTTAAAGAAGGAAATGTTTATTTTGGCACATGGTTTCAGAGGATTCAATCCATGGTCATTTGGGTCCATTGGACTGTGGGGAATAAGAACATCATGGCGTGGAGTACATGGTAGAGCAAAGCTGCTCAACTCATGGTGGACAGAAAACAGAAAGTGCAAGAGGAAAAGGCCAGGAACAAGATTTACCCTTCAAAGGTGCACTGCCAGTGATCCACTTCCTCCAATTAGGCTCCTTCACCATAGCCAACTCATCAGTGGATTAATTCATTGATAAGGTTAGAGCTCCATAATATAATTAACTCTCTTTTGGGAGAGCAATACAAGAGTTTGAGCTCAGGGCTTCATGCTTGCTAGGCAGGTACTCTACCACTTGAGCCACATCCCCAACCCCTAATTAACTCTTTTTTTTATTTGTTTATTCACATGTGCATACATTGTTTGGGTCATATCTCCCCCCATCCCCTGCCCTCTCCCTCTCTCCTCTACCCTTTCTCCTAATTAACTCTTAATAATGCCATTAGCTGGAGACCAAGCATTCAACACATGAACCTTTTGGAAGAACACTTCATGTTCAAATCATAATGGGAGATAAGATGGTACCTTCCATAAAATAGTAGATTTCCAATAGTAGATTTCCCAGTTGGTAACAGGGATTGACACTGAGCAACCATGAAATGAACATCAGGTGATGCCCCAAAGGTTGAGCAGGAGGGACACAAGATATCTCTTCCTCATTAGTCTATCCTCTGTATAGTAAGAATAACATCCCATCATATCATGGCTGAGGGAATTAGAGAGTATTTATAAAATGTACTTACTGATTATATGCATTAAGTAGGACCTTGACCTCTAATAAGATAAAGTATCCTCAGTTTAAAGGTGAGGACTCCAGGTTCTGTGGGATTGAGTGACTTGCTGAATGTTTGCCAGTTACTGATAAGGGAGAATTTGCAGCCAGAGTGTCTGACTCATAAGTCTAGTTCCTTTCTAAGTGGGTGTAAGGACTCCCAGCCCAGGCCTGCCAAATCATGTGGAGGAGGCTTACCTTCTCCCCCTGAATGGTGAGGTGAACTGCTGGGCAGGGTCTGAAACCACTGAGGCCCACCTCTAGGAACTGCATCCTGGTGTGTATTAGCTGCCAAGCCAGTCCAAGGGTTCTGAGCTAAGACCACCCAAATCATGTGACTTCCACGACAGGGAGATCTACTGCTGGGTGGGGCTTGAAAGCACTGGGACCCATCTCTGGGAACTTAATCTCAACACGGGTTTGCCTTCAGGCAGGTCTGAGTCCAGACCCTTAAAATCATGAGACTTCCTCCTCCTTCCCACAAGGAGGTGAATTGCTAGACAGGGTCTGTAAACATTGAGACCAGAGACGGAATGACTATGTCCCACAGTTCTCCCATAGCCAGTGC